ACCCTCGGATCAAAATCTCACCTATCAACCGGAATTCGCCAAAATACTAACTTTGCCAATTCAAGCCTAATTCTACACTGTACCTCCAAAACCACTTCCGATCACTCTCCTAAGTCACAAATCACCTCCCAAAGCTAACCGAACCATCGGAACTCACATCTGAACCCTCTAACACATAAGTCAACATTCGGTTGACTTTTCCAACTTAAGCCTTCTTAAAAGAGACTAAGTGTCTCATTTCGTACCAAATCCTCTCCGAACTCGAACTAATCATCTCGATCCCATAAAACACGGATAACGAAGCGTAAAGAAGCTGAAATGGGGAAAATGGAGCGGTAACTCATGAGACGACTAGCCGGGTCATCACAGCTACATTTTGCCCATTCAAATTATGTTTATAATCACTCACCAAGATACACATGTAGTTATATTTAATTTCACATGGAGATTGAATACTTTGATAACCACTTTTGAAATAGCATATTCAAAATATTTTTTGGGTGACCCAAAGTCATGTTGTTTAAATATATCTATGCTTCCAAGTTCAAATATGCAATAAAAAGGTGACAACAATTCCTGATGTATCCATTGTTCTTATGATGCAAGAGGAATATGAATTTCCAAAAAAAGGTTCATGGTAACTGGAATGCAGTTTGTCACTTGAACTATCATGTATGGTTTCTATGAACTGCTTTGGTAATTGCATGGTTTCTATGAACTGCTTTGGTAATTGCATGGTTTCTATGAACTGCTTTGGTAATTTCAGTCTTTGGTAATGCTCAATCTTGAAGACTATGGGCGACTAAGCTTAGGGCAGATCTTATTTTCACATAGTTTCATTAGTGCTTTCTACTTTCGTTTCCACCTTTTTAATAAATCTTCAACCTTTATCTCCCTTCTCTTTAAGGTATGAGAGAAGTGAGAACAGAGATGATGAAGAGGTACATTATTTTTGTATACTCTGTACTTTTGGTTAAAAAAATTCATGTAAGTAACTGTAGGAACTGATCGAAGTCCATCAATTAGTTCAATATCTACAATCTATGCAAGAAAATTAGAAGTCAAATGAGATGCATAGCAACAAGTTATAGTAGATTTGCTATAGAAGTCTTTATTAGTTATCTGCTAATACACTTAGGATTACAATTTTATAATCAGTTCCACAAATAAGCTATGAACATTCATGTTACCTTCTCAAAAAAAAAAAATGAAGATTTTCCATGACTTCATGTTTTAAGTTAGTTCTTGACAAAGTTTAATGAAAGATGGTAACATTGTAGACTTCCAGTTAAATATACGCTAAAATTGTGGGAGTGCACAAAAGATTAAAGATGACCAAGTCTCTGTGTGTGTGTATTTACTTAATTTCTCCATATGAGTTCTTTCCTACATGCTAACAATTAAACATCACAGTTTCTATGGCCGGATAGATTGTCAAATCTAATAGTGAATATAGCTTAGCTCAGAATTCACTTTTTTTTTATCAAAAAAGACAATGAGCTCATATTCACATTACTTGGTAATAATAAAAAAAAATACAATGAGCTCATAATGACCTCCAAATTGTTAAAATCTCAGTTTTCTCACTACTCTTTTCATAAACTAAACAAAACTTCGCTTGTTAGAGAAATCTCAGAGGAAGCATATCAATATCCTTTCCTCTTATACATAAGAAAGACTTAATTTTTAGATTATCCATAAAGAAAGTTTACATATCAGTACATTGAACATTGCTGGTTTAAACCCCTATGCGTGGCCCAAAGTACCACCAAAATTTCAACTGATATTAAAATTTTGAACCCATAATCTCAACTCAATGGACAACCAATTGTCATCCTCTGTATTTGTTAGTTTTCCTTATTGGGAAAATCCATATTGAATAGGAAGGTGCAGAGAACTTCAATTAATGGATGATCTCCAGAATAGCAAAGTCGCTACCAAAGCAATAAAGAGCTTAAACGTTAGATAATCGAAGGAAATCCCAATTTCTTTTTTAGCTATTTTTGAATTTCACAAAATTAACATAAAATTACAATTTAATTGCGAGCAACAAATCAGCAAGAACCCAAAAATAAAACAATCATAGTCACATATAATGAAAAAAGAGAGAACAATAAACTAACCTTTCAGCCATAAGATTATGTCAATTGAGCAACTACTGAACTGCAAAACCCCAAACAAAACCCTAATTTTTTGTTACAACGAAAGAAGCAGAAGCCAAAGGAATTCTGAGCGAAGATCAGCAGTGACTGTCAACCATGTGATTATGTCAATTTAGCAACTAAGGAACTACAAAAATCCAAGCCAAACACCAATTATTTCTTACAGCGAAGAAGAAGGTTGTGGAATTCTGAGCGAAGAGAGAAAAAAACATAGCAAATTTAATTCTGCACTTTGAAATTACCTATTTAATTCTTCTGTGAAAGATACAAATCAGATAGAGAAAAACAAAGAAGATGAACCGATAGAGATAGAGAGTGACCTATCTGTCATACTGAAGTACCGCAGATAAATCAGTAATGCGGCAGCTGTCATATTGATCACACGCGTTAGCTTTCAGCCAAATTTAGGAGCAGTATGAAATGACCAGAATACCCTTTAGCAGCAAGCACACATGACGACCTTGAGCTGCTTCTCCCGCTCTTCTATATATTAGTAATAATACAGTGTTGAGTCATAACGTGGCGATGCTGTTTTAACCCAACAAGAAGCCAAACTATTCCATCGCATATCAAATCACATCTGCGAATTTGTGTGTTCAAATCGGTCTTGATGTCATGAGCAATTTACAAACTAGCTTGCAGAAAGGAAGTTTACTGATCTCCCGTACTTCACTGCACCTTTTTTGTACAAAGAAGCTTTATGATAGACTTAGAAACAAATTTTTGCTATTAGTTGAAATCTATCAGGAGGAATGAACAAAATGAAGTGCATCAGCACCAGGTCTATATCTGTTCTTCACCCTCCAGTGGTTGCAGAACATATATAACGTCTAATCCCCAATGGATAACATAGTAAAAAATACAACAGATTAAGACGATAAAACGCAACAATTACTTACATATTGTTATACCAGAAAAGGAAATCCAACTTACCTTGACAAAACCGTTAGAAATAACAGCAGTAATCTTTTTCGATCAATAATGAATCTATCAAATTCGTTTTAGGTTCTAGGGACTGGTGCATAATTCCGATAGCAGGATCATGAGTTTAAATACTACAATCACGTTTCATATCAAGGTGACCTCTTATGGGGCTTGGCTTCAAATATGCATTGAGACCCACATCTGTAGTTCTGTTGCTTTAGTACAGAGAGAAGCAGCAGCAATAATTGCTCAAGTCTGGGTATCAGTAGTCAGGTAAAAGTGGATTTTGTGCATGGTGTACTCAATGGAGTCAGTTATAACATCAATATACCATGCAGGGAAGATTCAATCAATATTATTCTTTTACTGAAAATGTCCAAGAATGAAAAAGAAAAAGCTCCAATGTACAAGTGCACCCTTGTGCTTCTCCCTCCCTCTACATAATATATGACTGCTTATTTATTCAATTTGATCAACTTCCCCTGCATGGAAAGTCTCATCTCAATAGAAATCATGTACTCTTTTATCATCTATACCTCCAAGTCTGTATATATACATCTGCATTGCTGATGCCTGGTCGAGCTTCAATGCTAGTATGATCTTACACGATAGCATGAGACTTGTTTGAGTATGATGGCTCATTTTGACATAAACAATCTGGTAAAGGATTTACATAAAATGCCTCCTCTGAACGGAACCTATCCATTCCCTTCCTTCCTGAAATCGGTCCTTTTCGCTTCCTAGGCGATCCTTGCCTGAGCAACCAACAACAAACTATTGAGGTTATATTATATTGATTCATCGTTAAAAATTACCAATATAACCACTATAAGCAGAGGAAGAATAAGATAAGATTATGCATCCATAAAGGCAATATCTTGGTCATCCAATGGCAGACCGTCATTCAAATCCCAATACAAACAAAACAAAGCTTGACATAACATACCTTTATGGCTTTAAATAAATGTGAAAATGGAAGGCTAATTTCAGACTATGAAAATCCTATTGCAGGCCTTTGGTCAAATACACCACAATACATGACCAGCCTCGAGAAACATAGGACAAGAATAAGAGCAAGCAGTAACTATTACTATTCTAGTATTCTTGTAAAAACATCTTATTACTAAAATTTTCCACGGCTAAAAGAGCATTCATGTCATGAGTTAAACATCACTTAGGATAACAAATTTTACTTTGACATACCTTGTTCTGTGAACTTCAATAATGCGATCAGACAGTTTTTTCCCCTCTATCATTGTACCTTGGTCAACTTTGTTGACAAGCCGGACGAGAGCTTTCCTGATCAATTCCATGAAAATATTTAGCAGCTAGTTCGAATCTTGATAGCAGAGTATTCCATGAAAAGGATATTGATAAAACGTGTTCAGGAAAAAAAATCTTGCCTATCAGGAGATATTGTTTTCCTGTGCCCCAGAAACCGACGATGTCCCTCAACTGCTCTTGCCATATTCCCTGAGTACGAAGGAATGAATATGTCACTCTCAACTGACACAATATAATCTATTGCAGCTAATTGAGATGCATGCTTGCTGAATGGTTCAAGCTCATCATAAGACGCCAACTTTTCCTGCAAAACACAAAGATTGTTCATTTAATTAAGCAGGCAGTAAATGTCGATATGAAGGGGAAGATATTGGATTAGGAAATGAGATGGGTTCTTTACAATAAAAATGCATTTTCAAGTTAAAGGAACACATCTTGGAATACTTCATCAAAATCCGTTTCCTTTGATTAAGGGAAAAAGGGTCACGTAAACCATTAGTTAGTCTTGAAGAGTGAGTAGATTTTACTAGGATAGGTGAATGCTGAGAAGAATCTAACTTTTCTTTTCATATCATTTCTTTAGTTAATGGAAATTTCCATATTGACAGAGTTTGACACGATCATCAAGTCTCAACAACAACACCAAGTGAAATCCCACAAATGGGATCTGGGGAGGGAATGTGTACGCAAATCTTACCCCTACCTTATGAAGGTAGAGAGGTTGTTTCCAGTAGACCCTCGGCTCAATCATCAAGTCTCATGTAAATCTATATGGTTTGACAAATTTACTTTTCCACTCCTAAATGGAACAATCTACCAGTTCAATAGATGAACTTTCCCTTTTTATTGATAAGCGAGAAATCCTCGAGGTCTAGTGGCACACGGTTCGAAACATAGTGGAGGTTTGGCTTCTCACGCAACCTATCAATCTACACTACCAAGCTGGCAACATTACTAGTCACATTGAAAGTGCTGTCTGTCTGTCTCAACAATTACAACATTATGATTTCGCTGTAAGGTAATACTTCTATCAGCCATATCTCAAAACAGCTATCAGTTAGCTCAGTAAAGATGTTCAACAGGATATGCTGAGGTAAGTATACCTGCTCACTTATACTGCATTCTCTCTTTGGATCCAAATAGAATCTCACACTTGGTTTCAAAAGCAGATATCAACAACCAGCAACAGAACCAGTTTTTTTTTCAATAAACAACTACCAACGAAAACCTTAAGGGATATCATAGCGATGTATATTAGTGACAGAACGTTAAACTGTAGTTTGATTTTACATATTTGACAAAAAGAAAGTGTTCATATTAAAGCTAATTGATGGTATTTGGTGTTAGAGGTTAATCTAGTAGCTCATAAAAGCTTTCAATCTTAGGACTTTGCAGGTCAGAAAATATAAGTTTATGGGCGTCCACTGTCACAGTGATTGACTCCTAAATTTTTAGAAATAATGATCACAGAAATAAGAAAAACATAAAACAACTATTTGAGGTTAGTTTGCAGACAACAAACCTTGTTCATTAATAAGGGATAGCGAGACTGTAGATCAGACATATGGGAATCACCCCCATATATCTCTCCTGCAGCAATGTAAATCGGGGTGTTCGATGTGAACCCAAGAGCAGAAAGGAACATCCCCACCTCCCGTGGAGATAATGGACAATAGCCTTTGCCTCTTTGTTCTACAGGGTCGATGTCTTTCACTTTCCACCATGGGATGCTTTCCCTATAAATGATGAAGGCAATGAAATAAAAGCAACAACAACAAACTTAGTGTCATCCCACAAAGTGTGGTCTGGGAGGGGTAGATCGTACGCAAACCTTACCCTTACCTCGTGAAAGTAGAGCGGTTGTTTCCGATAATGAAATAAAAGCAACTTGCTATTAAATTCAAATAGTCTAAGTCATGTGCATTCTGTCTTTCTAGAAGACATTTCTTACAAGCATATGCTTCTAAATTTCAAACATGAGTTAGCTTCGTGTCATAATAACCTACCTGATTGCCCTTAGTTCTTCAGCTTCTTCTGGGGATAGATCATGTGTGCATCCACTAAAGGCAAGCATGTCTTTCTCATAGCGCAAATGTAAAGCAATGTATGGACCATAGGTTCGCATACGATCAACCAACAACTGCAAATAAAAGAGTGTATGACTTGAAAGACTGTTTAACAATCTAACAGTGGAGATACTACTGAAACAATAATAAGCATAAACAAACATGATCACCTTTCCCATTGCTTCGATTTGGGGAGAAAATCGGAGGGCTTGATAGCAAGCACGGCAGCGCAACTTCTGAATATCAGGAGGCAGGTTATTATTTGCCAGCCTTGAGTCAGACTTGGCTGCTCGAATTACCTACAAAATTATTTCGGATATATTAGCCATAATAAAGTTTTTTTCCTTTTTTGTGGTTTCCTTGTGTGAAAAAAGTGCAAGATATGTACCTGGTATTCATCCCACATGGTAGCTATCTCCTTCTCATAGTAATCTACACCAGACCAACTTCTGAAATGCTTAACAGCTCTAGCTGCAGATGCAAGTTCCTTTGGTAGCTTTTTGACAATCCTTACATCATTTGCCAAAGAATTAATGAAATGGTCTTCATCAAACACATCAGAGAATTTGCTGCAATTCAAGAGCAGAAGAGTAAGTGTATACACATTCACAAGTTCTGCTGATTAAACATAATAGGATGAAAAGTATGCTACTATTCCTTTGCAAGTTGACACTCATGAACAATAAAAGTATCATTGCAGACCTAGAGTCCTTCCAAAGTGAGCGCTTATCAAGCTCCGGGATTACAAGAGTAGCATTTATGATACGAGCAACAGCAACCATGTCACATATCTACAAAACAACAATAACTGCTTTCAGTTCAAACAATGACATACCAAACTTATGCATAAACACATGTATGGCTAAACTGTTAGCGGAAAAATTTCCAAAAAAAGATACATCTAAGGGAGTAGAAAAATACAGACCCCGGCCCTCATCTGATTGAGTCCACCATTAGTATGAACGAGCAGGTAGCCTCGAGATTCTGGAGGAGCTGGAGATTAAATGCACTATTATGAAAGATAAGCAACAGAATGATCCTATTTTATGTTTGCTACAAGGATGACTAAAGCTATTTTGAAATATTTGTTGATAGGAAAAAGCTGAAATGACTTACAAGTATATGATGAAGTTGGTGCAACACAACGAACATAGTCTCGATTTGGAGGCGGTTTCCATAACTTATCCAAGGTCCAATTCCAATTTGCACCATCCAACTGTCAAATCTAAAGGAGTGAAAACATGAAAGATATATAACTACTCTCAATTTACTTAGAGGAAAAGAAATCTTTTTTTTTTAAAGTGAGATATTAAAACTTTAATATACTTTGAAAGAACATACAACCTTGCTAGCAGTAACAGGAGCTTTTGAGAAATGGGGTGGAGCAAATTCTTCAATCCAGCTTCGCTCTCCGCTCAATCTTTGGTACGACAACTCATGCTGCTACAAATATTTAGGCACCACAGATCAGTAATAAAATCATACTGAACAATCCTAAACGACAATAATAACAACTCGATACGCATTAATCTCTGTATCCTTCACCTCTGTTTTAAGCCCAATAAATAACAACTATCGACGGCGACCCGTGGAATCCCACAAGTGGGGTATGGGATAAACCCAATAAATAAACACGTCTAAACAAGAAAGGGGAGCCTTGTAACTAACACTAAAGTTGTCTCCATGTGACTTATAGATCACGGCTTGGAGCCATGGAAGCAGCCACTCATGCTTGCATTAGGGTAGGTTGTCTACGTCACAACTTAGGAGTGCGGCCCTTCCCGGACCCTACATGAATGTAGGATGTTTTATGCACAAGATTGCCAAAAACGCCTAAACAAACCAAAAATATAAAAAACAAACAAAAGACTTTGGAAAGTATTTTCTAATATCAAGAATCACCAAAAGAATACAGTAGCTTGATGGAAAATGTGAAATGGAAATAAGAAACAAAATTGACAAAACGGATGCACAATTTTTTCAATGTACATCAAAAGTAAAATATTAATAAGACACACACACACACACATTGAAATAATAAAAATGGTCAAAACAAAGATCAAGAAAACTGAGGAAAAACAAGCTGAAGAAACATTTATTACATAAAGAAGAATAGAGAAAGTGTAGAAAGATTGTTGTAGTACCATAGGAAGTTTGTTGTGAGGGAAGCTAGTAACATCAAAGGAAGGGACATGAACATGTACGGATAGCAGAGACACAAAAGTTATTACAGCAATGGCACAACTTAACACCTTTCGAACTGAATTCCTCCACCTTTTCTTCTTCTGCTGCATATCCACCAACCCCAATGCCAATAACTATCTTGTATATTTCTATGAGAAGTTGGCTGCTGCTGATTTTGATTCTTTTTTCTTGGTTTCACTTCTGCTTTTGTATTCTCTGACTTTGGGCTTTAGCGTTTTTTTTTCTTCTTATATTGTATTTATTAATGTCAAATTAATAATGGCTAGCACTTTGCGGGGGAGTACCTATTATTTTATTTGACACCATTTTCTATTTATTTGTCTTAAAATGAATGATAAGTTCGTATATTTTAAAATAACTTCATCTTTATTTTTTTTTTACTTTTAATAGTATTGTTTTATATCATAAATGTCCTCGGTATGTTTTACCATAAGTTTAAAAAAAGAATTCTTAAAACAGTCAAGCATCTTCACATAAGATCGGACAGATTCACAGATGGAGAACCTTATTTTATGTATGAGATTTTCAAGAAATTTTTAACATAATTATATTTTTGAACAGTCTTCAAAATCCTTTACAATTCAATTCATTGTTTTATTCATAACTTAACAGCTTGTTTGGATGGTTGTTACCAGTTGTATCGTATCGTATTGTTACTTTAAATACAATGTTTGTTTTGATTGTTACTTAAATTTTATTGTATCGTATCGTTAAATCTGTCGTTACGTAACGATGAAATGTGTCACTTTATGTAACGACCGATTTGGTGTGGTCGTGTCGTTTCCTTGTGTTTTTCTCTCAATCTCACCCTTCATTATTATTAAATAATTTTATTTTATCATTTACCCTATCTTTTTATATACTATCTCATAATTTTTCTTTATAATATTGCAAGTTTATTCATTATATTACTGGTGCATGATACCATAAAACGACCGCAAAACGACACAATCCATCCAAACATTGTATTCATCAAACGATACAGTACAATACAATACAATACATTATGAAACGATATGTAACAATTATAATTTACCCAACTGCATTAACTTTTGAAGTAGTTGTTAATTAGGGGTTTTCTTCTACTAATATTTATATAATATTAGTAATTACTTTAATATTTTAAATTCCATGTCTACAAGATAAATAAGAGAGAAAGGGAAAATAAGGAAGGTTGGAGGAAATTACGGAAAATCACTGAAAATGTGCTAATTCAATTGGAGTCAGGCAACTTCAAAAAGAAAAGAAGAGACTAATAGATAATCATTATCTCTTTCTAACCTAGTTTACCTCTAACTATAACTCCTACTTTGTCTATCAAATTCAAAGCTTTTATTAATTTTAAGATCCAAAATACTCCTAAGGAGCTACCATAAGAAAAGAGTTATTTTTTTACTATAAGTGTACTAGCTTAAGATATTCATAACCATATTAAGAAGAGATAATTGAAATGAATATCTTGTACTGCTATTTTCTGTATACAAAAAACTCATTTTTTTTCAAAGAACTTACTTAGTACAAAAAGAAAATAGTCATTCTTGTAACTTTTTTCTCATTATTTGACCAGGAAAAGAAGATTAGTTTATGGAAGGAAAATGGTTGCTATTTTCGAGAGGATTTTTATTTAGTTCCTAATTGCCTAGCAAGAAAATCGTTGACTATCAAACATCTATAAGTATCAAAGAACAATAAATATCTTATTTAGATATGTTTTGAAATGTAAATCCTTACGTGCAAACAAGTACTCTTAGATTGTTTTAACAAAATTACTTTCTTTTGTCATTAACCCATGTTCCAAAACATTTAAGAATTCTGTTTAAGTTTCTAAATAGTTGCATCATTAATTCAGCAGGACTTAAATAAAGAACAAGAAGACTACCTCAAACAGAAAATTAGTGCACTGCCCAAATGAGTGGCACATTGCTTCTAGTTTTGACTTTTATAGTCCCTATAGTAATTTATTTGACATTAATTATCCGGTTAAGTACGAACTTTAAGAAATACTGTAAAAGAAGATTTTTAAGTCATAATTAGATATGCTTAAAAAATAGTACTACTTACTAAAATATTAAATGTAGCCTTAGTACTAACTTAAGTACATTTGTTTATATAGAAGTACCGTGGGAGATATATGGTGCAGATCTAGGAGTCCGGAACCAAAGTGTTGCTTTTTTGAACTCAAAATACAAAAATAGGTGAAAAAATCAACTGATGAGCAATTTATATATAACGCATGAGTTGAATGCGCTATACCTTAACGACACGTTTGTCCCGTTAAAGTGCAACACATGCGCTATATTTAAACTTTACTGACCCACCACTAATGGATTTGAACTTTACTGACCCACCAATAATTGAGGGTATAGCGCATGCATAATACGCGCCACATATACAGCGCATATCATGCATGTGCTATACCCTCAATTATTGGAGCCCTCGAATTGATTTTTTGCTTATTTAAGGTGTTTCATTGTTTCGTTAAAAATCCATTCAAGATCCTCCAGGTCTTCCGAAATATTTGTTTGCTTAACTTTTTTTATATTTTATCATAATGTCCGAAGAGCAAAAAATTAGAATTGCATTATATTGGGGGGAGGGGGGGGGGAGGTGGAGAATAACTCA